CAGAGGCCACCTCCTCCACCTGGGGAGCTGGTCCCTGCAGTGCTCTGGGCCAAGGTGCACCCTATCTGGCGGTAGAGAGAAGCTTCCCAGCCCATAGCATTTCAGCTTCCCTAGTGTCTTCCCCATAGTTAAACGGACAGCTAAAACTACACATTTGTGTTATTTTCAAAGAATGAGGAAAATGAAAAGAAAAATCTCATTTTTATGCCTATGAGAAATTGTATAGATCCCACCTATTTGACACCTTTACTGGTATGTATACAAGCCACATTATAGAAGTGGATATATAATAAAGGAGGGATGAAATGGGGCCTGTTGGACCAGGGCAAGTTATCATTTCTGTTTACTTCAAACTCACCAAATCTAATCGGTGCCTGGAGCTCAGTGTCCCAGCCTAGGAATTCTTAATTGCAATTGTCGCTGCTTTGCCTGATGGTTTTGGCTTACCTAGTAAAAGTATTCTGTCAACATGGGTACTTACTTATTTCTTTAATTACATTTTTAGTTGTTTAATATTTTTTCCATTGCTGCGTAGGCAGAGGGGCGTCATCGTCTTTGACACCACGGAGGTAGTTCAAGTGATGAGCACCCGACTTTGCCGTTTAACCTTTAAGCTGGGGTGTGTTACTGCAAACAAATCCGTTTGTTGTTGAGGCAGGTCAGCAAGACCTCAGCGCCCTGGCAAGACTCCTGCATGGGAACGGGGGGGGGGGGGGGGGGGGGGGGGGGGTGCTGCTGACCTGCTGCTTGCCATATGAGCCTCTGCTGTAACCTGACCAGCCCTCCATGCCAGCTGAGGCCTATCCTTGAGTCATGCAGGAGCTGCCCCCACGTGAGCACAGAAGCAACCCCGCTGCTTCATGGGGCTTGTCTGCACTCTTGGTTCACTTTCTTCTCCTTCAGCCAAGGCCCAGTGAGAAGGGTGAGCACCCAGATGGGGAACATTGGTAGATGGGAAGAATTATTTACAAGCCTCTTCTCTCCTCTGCCACTTCATCTCTGTTCATTCAGCATAACCTGCCAAACCCCTGCTGGAACACAGGCCCCACGGAGGTGGGCTCATGGCTCTGCAGTTACTCAGCTCCATAGCACACAGGGTCTGGGGGAGAGTGGGGGGATGTTGAGCCGGGAAAGGTTGGAGGCTCCTTGTGGGTTGGCCTGGGGAGCCCCCTTCTGTGAACTTGCCTGGCAGTATTGTCTGGAATTGGGGGAACCATCTGCAGTTTTTGAGCTTAGACTTGAGTTTTGTTAAGGTTGGTGGGGCAGAGGGGATTAGGAGGAGGGGGAGACCTGGGTCTACTGGAAATTGGTGAGAGTGGGAGGAGGAGGCAAGGGCGGGGTTGGCAGGACTGGGCATGTGGGAGCGCAGCTTTCTAGCCCACCATAGCCGTGGGCGTGGGGCGCCCTCCATCTGAGGTGGGGCGTGCCGCGGAGGCAGTGAGTTTGCTTGGGACATGTGCAGGTGTCCAAGGAGAAAATACTTGGAAAGTGTTGAAACAAGGAAGCTGAACTTCAGGAAGGAGGGCTGGTCTGGGGTGGTGTGGGAGGGGCTGGCTGTCAGGATCCGAAGAGGTGGGAGTGGACAAACACATCCTGGGCTATTTTGTAGAGCAGCATTTTTTTCAAACTTCTTTTAACAGTAGAACATATTGTTATTCCTCCCTAAAATGTATGTTTTTCACGTGTAATTCAGCAGATAAAAGCAAGGGTATGAGTGAGGTTCAAAGCCCCTCTCCCAAAGGCCCTTTATAAGGGTGCTGTCAGAACTGGAGCAGGGAAACACAGCTGGCCGCTAGGTAATAGCCGGTGTTGTCAAGGGTGTGAGGGACAGGTGGCCACTATCCAGGGAGTGTACAGTCTTAGTGGAAGGCATTTGGTAATCTGTCCACAATTTTAATATACATAACCTTTGACCCACTTCTGAGACTTATCTTACCAAAATATTTTCACAAGTACATATAGATACATGAGTACAGGTAAAATGTTCATTGCCACTCTGAGAAATTGCAAACATCCAAATACCCATCAACAGCCAAATAATTTGTGTTAACATGGAAAGACATCCAAGATGCGTTATTCAGGGAAAAAAGCAAGAATCAGAACCATGTGTGTAGTATGATCATGTTTTTGTCAAAACAAATAAAATTATGTGTATATTTGCATGTTGCTGTATATTTTGAAGCAATCTGAAACAACATATACCACTTGAGAGGTTATCTCTGGGACATGGCATTAAAGGGACTTTCTTTTTCTAAGCCTTGGGTGTCTGTCATTTTAATTTTTTTCCTCAAGCACCTATTACTATTGTAATAATAACAACAACAACAACACTATTTTAGGAAGATGCCAGCCACTGAAGTTAGTGTGGAAGAAGGAGAGGGTGAGCAGGACTGGTCCCAGGATGGGTCAGCTAGGACAGCGGGGCATGAGGCTGAGGGGGGTGGAAGTTTGGAGGAGGAAGAAATGGGACTGAGTCAGATGCCACCAAGAGGTCACAAGAAGTGACGCTCAGGTTTGGGAGGAGGCTGGCTTCTGTGATCTGGTGAGTTCTTTGTGCATCTAAGTTACCAGTGGACATACTTTTACTCAGTTGTTGCCAGTGTGCATTTTCAAGTCCCAAAGCACCTAGATATACTAAAAACTAAACCTGTGCCATACTTATTAGCACCTATACTAAGCATCCTTCCTAGACTCACCCACCTAAACCTATGAGGTTTGCCCCTAAGTCTGGTGACACAAATACTAAATGTCTGTGTCCACCGCTGGAATGACGCTAAGCATCACCCAGGAGGTGCACAAAAGGCTGTCAGGACGTGGCCTGTCAATCAAGCCATAGCAGTCATATTTTTGTCTTCCTTTAAAAATGACTGTAGGTAGGACCAAAGTGCCCTAACCTGTCCCTTGTTTGTATGATTTTCATGCTTCATGACCTGGCCTAGTCCCTTTTTTTTCTTTCTAAAGTTGGATGGTGACTAACATTGGACACAAAGGCAGGCCCATTTAGAGCTTTCTGCTTGTATTCACTCAGCATTTGGGCCTCTTTTCTTTTGGCTTGAGTATTTCACAGTCATCTGGCCCAGCGGGTTCCCAGTTGGCTGGAGCCAGTTCTAAATAGAGTGTTTTCCTCATCCCAGGGGTTCCACAATTAGGGCCGCTGAGAAGCTTGCAGGGGGGCCTTGCTGGGGGCTGCGTGGCCTCCTTTCAGCTCGGCTCCCCTCCACGGCTCCCCTCCACTCCAGGCGGGCTCTTCATATGGCTCCTTTATTATCTGAAGACTGCCCCCTTAACTGTAAATTATGGTAAAGAATGGGCAACCCTTGAGATTTGGGGGTTTTCAGAAAGGAGCATCTTCAATATGGCCTACATTTTACTTTCAGAATTAAAAATTCTTTTGGGCCAGTTTATGTTTGCTTCCAGAACTGGATTATCATAACTTCCAAGTTTTTGTTTTATGTATTTTTGTTTGTTTATTTTTACTGTGTCCCTTCAGACTGGTGATGTATGAATCAGTCTTCTTAAAACTATATTTTAATTTCAAACTCCCTTGGGGCTTGAATCCATAACAGTGTGTTAACATACATGCCATCCAAGTATAACGATTGCAGAAGTCCAGATGGTTTCTGTCCAGAGTTGTGGATCTGAGCCAATACCTAAAAGAATGAAAAGATGTTCCCTATTTGCTTCCTTCTAGAAAGTAGGAAAACCAGTGACTCCTCCGCAGAAACTGAAATAAGGTACACCATTAATTGTGAGCATATCTAAATTAAGGGCATCAAATGACAACAGGTCATGTTTGGCCATTCATTCCACAGAATAAATGAGTGATTCTCCGTATCTAGCCTGTGAGGTAGAGCTCCTGATAGTGAGCAGGCCCTGGTGGCCATCTCATTTACCTCGTATGAGCTGTAACCGACGGGTCGCCGCCACCGCGAGAGATGGGTATTCAGTCTGGAGAAGCAGAGAAATGATGAATAATATGAATTAGCACCATCTGGGTTGAAATTTCTGTTAGGGATGAACATTTATTGAAAGAAAACTAAATGATCATTGACAGCTTTCCCCTCTTACACCTCAATGGATGACTTTTAGAACCGCCCACTGAATTGGCTTTTAGTTTTTTGTTTGCTGCTTGTTTTCAAAAGCTCAGCCACTTACCAACTTTTCAAAAATGTATAGGAGCAACTGGCAGTCTGTTTCTTTGATCTTAGGTGAAGGTTTTTGTTTTTGTTGTTTTCAATTTAGCAGTGAGGAGGGAGCATGGATCTCTGGGCAGCTAATAATAGCTGTGAGATGAAGGCAGTGATCCTGCCTTTAAAATAGGCTTGACCTGAAGGCAAAGAGTTTACGTCACTGGTAGGCAAGAGCTCATACCTGCTGAAAAATGTCTGGTAGTTTGTAACCAATTTAAATTTTATGAATATCTGTGGGAAATTAGTCTTATTGGGAACAGACTGAAGCATTACAATGTCAACTAAAATTAGTTCTTGTTAGATGATAGTCTGATTTGGCCTGGAAATGGCTCAAATTAGAAGAAATGTCTTTCAGCAAGTTTTGCTTGCCATTTGTCACCTGACATTGATAATGGTTTGTTCATTCATTCAACAGACATTTGTGAACTTATTTGCCAAGCATTCATTCTTTCAACAAATGTTGCTTGAGTGCCCACAGTGCCCAGGACACAGCAGACAGGGTCCCTGCCTCTGAGCTAATAGACTTTAAGCATCTCATTTGAGAGCATGCTATGAGAGGGGCTGCGTGGGCACTACTAGGCACTGGGGCACTTTTACTGAGCTGCTGTCACATGCCTGCCCTAAGGCTGCATGAAAAAGAACCGGTCCTTGTTCTCTGGGGACCACAGCCTAGTAAGGGACAGTCAGGAAACAAGGCATTTTAAAAGATAATATAGGAAGACAGCATGTTTTGTGCTGCACAGGGGGAGGAAGCCAGGCGGTGTTTCTGTCTGAGTGTGAATGCTAATGACTGCCCTCTGCCCCCTGCAGCATGGACAAGGACAGCCCAGACACCCACCAAGACCTGAATGCCCTCAAATCCAAGTTCCAGGAGATGCGAAAGGTCATCAGCACTATGCCCGGCATCCACCTGAGCCCCGAGCAGCAGCAGCAACAGCTGCACAGCCTCCGCGAGCAAGTCAGGACCAAGAATGAACTTCTGCAGAAGTACAAGAGCCTCTGCATGTTCGAGATCCCCAAGGAGTAGATGCAGCCCGTGGCTTCCAGGAAGGCCTGAGAAAGAAGGGGAAGAGCAGCCGGCCTTACTGCCCCCCTCCGCCCCCCTGGAGAGGGCTTCTTTTGGACCCTAGCTCTGAACTTTGTAGCCCAATAGGGTGGGGCTATTGTACTGTTTCCTTAGCTGAACTTGGCATTAACTGTGGGAGGAGCCAGTCCTGGAGCTTGGATTTGTGGGGGCTTCCTTGCATATATCCATATGTCTAGATGCATAATAACTGCAGTGTCCACTGGTGGAAGGAGGAATGTTTCTGGAGTCTGCAGAGGGGTTGGAGGACTCTAGCTCTGCCTCTGAGGAGGAGGCCACCTGCTGGGCGCCTGGGCTCCTCTGGCCATCTAAGGAGCACAGTAGGAAAGGAGGCATCTCTTGTGCCTCCTGCCTTCCCTCCCCTCCCGCCCCCTGAATGTGAGATGTATACCAGGTACATATTGTTCTGTCATAGCAGTATCATGAAACATTTGCGTAGAATTCACTGGACAGATTAAGTCTATACTCCTATGGCGTGGGTTTAAAATGGCAAAGGAAGGCTGTGAGATATTGAGCGTTGTTCTGAAAGCCTTTTCTCCTGAAACAGTTTGCTTGCTTTTGTGTTTGAGACCCTGACTGTAACAGCCCGGATCCCTGCCAGACGGCCCCTGTGCCCCTGTGCCCAGGTTCTCTGCCACCTACATGTTCTCGTTACTTTCAGCTCTGGCTCCCTTTGTCTCCTGTCACCTTCAGGCAGCTCATTTAGCCACTTAATGCCTGAGAAGGGCCGAACCACTTCAGACCCCACAGTGCTTCTTCCCACAGGGCTGGAGGATACATTGTTTCTACACAGGTGCAGACCTGGCCTCTTCCAGCATTTCAGATTCCCGCTGTCCTGGTTTAAAAAACTGTTCCCCGCTCTGGCCTTCTCATAGAGTCAACCATGAACATTACCGCACTGTAAATAGAGGTTCATGGCGCACTTTCTGTTCAGAGAAGGGCAGCTCTAGGTGACAGTTCTGCTCGGACTAGGCCAGGTGGGGCCTTATCGGTCTGATTCGGTTCTGAAGGGTGGGACGAGGGTAGACCCAGAAGTCAGGCAGTCAGGTTCTGATTCATAAAACGTTTACAAACACCCCTCATTTTCTACAGGTGGGACATTTTATTTGTGTGCTCTTCCTTTCCCCCTTAAGGTTAAGGTGAGACCAGTAAGCAAGCAAATATTGTTTAGACCTAGACATGAGCACATCACCTGTGCTGACCAATTCAGGGACTTAACAGGTGCCCGCTGACTGACCTTGTTGGCAGGTTTTGGTTGAAGATGTTTTTAGCAGGGGTTCCATTCGTGTCAACCTGCAGCCACCTGTCAGAAGATGGCAGGTTTATTGGGAACTCAGGGACGTATGAAGGGAGATATCAGATTTCAGTGGCTTTGGACAGAAGAGCAGGCTCTGAAATTAAGTGGGTAATCACCTATTAGACTCCTTCTGCCTTGGGAGTGTTATTTAACTGAATCAGTTATTTTCTTGACATTTTGGAGTAGTGTGTGGGCCGGTTTTAAGGCTCTGAACAAATACCATGAAACATGAAGCGCACGGAAATGCAAGACCACCAGGCAGGGCCTTTGTGTAAGACTGAAGTGGACAAGGGCTCTCAATGGGGCAGAGGGAGGTGGACCCTTTGTTGTGTTTTTCAGTGTTATGACTTGTGATGGTTTTTAAGAGTATAATTAAGAGAACCTATGCTGTGCTCTCGGGACATCTTGGTTTTTGTGCTGAGAAACTCATAGTAGGATGTCTCTTTTGGGTATTGGGTAGTTGGGAGGAAAATGTTCGCTTTGCTTAGAACAGACAGAACAAATTGTGAGCGCCTCCACTCTGCAACCCCGGTACAGAGGTAAACCAATGTGAAAGCAGAGTAACCCCTCTCGGCAGCAGCTCAGTTGGCCTAGTGGGTTATCCTGCCCAGCCGTGATTGGCCCCGAGGGCTGTCCCTCATCACAAAAGTGGCTTTAGTCCTGGTGGGGAGCAGCTGTCACCAGAGCAAGGGACAAGACTGAGTGCCCTTCACGGGGCTGAGAACCTCCTTGAAGCCACCAATTCTTTGGATTACTGGGTGGCAGGCACTTGTGCTAAGTACTTTTTAAACATCACACTTAACCCTCAGCAACCCCATGGAGGGTGTTCTGTTTCCTGAGTAAAGAATTTGAGGCTTGGCAGGTGTCACGAGTGGCAGTGAGCTGAGTCCTGAGTTGGGAGTAGGTGCCTTCACCTGCTGAGAAAAGGAGAGCAAGCAGAGAAGGGTGCCAGACCCCCAACCAGGACAGCAGATGCTTCCTGGAGCTGGAGGGGCACCAGAGGCTGGGTGATTTAACTGTTTGCAGACAGCCCTGCCAGAGACTCTGAAGAGGAGCCAGGCGCCAGGGTTCGGCCCCAACCCGCCACCAGCTCACTCTCAATGCTCCCTCCCCAGTGACACCTAACACCCTCTGAGAGTTTCAGGTTTGATGACCTTTTGTCACCCTGGGCCAGCACAGTATAGGACAGAATGACTGGGGCACAGTCCCAGAGGCCTTTTGTGGCTGGGCGAAGGGAAAACTAGGCAGGTACCATGTTTTGCTGAGTATAATACACACCCGTGTATAATACCCACGTTTTTGGCTCAGACTTTCAGGGAAAAAAATTGTTAATTTTTTAATTCCAATTTTTATGTTTATATTTAGGTACTTGTTTTTTGTATTATGAAGGAGTTTTAGCATTTATTATTACACTTTTAACTCATAAGTATACATAAAATAATAAAAACATTTATATAGATATGGAATTAGTACTGCACATGCGTAATGTGCATCCTTATTTTTCCCTCACAAATTTGGGCAAAAAAGTGCACATTATACACGGCAAAATATGGTAAATGGCTAGAAAGATGTGTCTCTAGGGAGAACCCTGAAATCCTTTATTTTCGTTCTGGCTTTCTAAGGATCTGTTCCCCAAATAGAAGGGCTTTAGCCTAGTCTCTGGAGCTTTTTGGGGGCGTTTCTCCCAAGGGCTGGAGCTATTTTCAGAATGCCAGCATTACTTTTCAGTTTGTGTGAAGGTAAGTCTAATTCCACTGAAATAGAAACCCCATCCCCTCCCTACTCACCTTTCCCCCTCCAGCCATTTCTAAAAGAAAGCATGGTTTTCCATTTTAAATTATTTTATTTTATATTAAAAAACCAATAACAATAACTTTAGAGACTGTCACACACACTATAAAACCTGGATAAGATTTTGTTCATGACATCAGAACTGTTAAAGTGCAAGTTTTACGTTTTGTTTTTCCTTTGTGCAATTTCACACACACACATATGTAAACAAGTCACGTGGTTATGATTTGTCCCACGCCCTCTTAGTTTTAGGAGGGCAGAGGCTTTCGCCAGCTCTCGTGGCAACTCAGAAGTATAGACAAGATAATGCCCTGTTTGTCTTAAGCCTCCAGTGGGCAGGATGGGTTTCCCAGAGCCTAACAGTGGCTAATCGACTTCCATACCACCCCTCTTCTTAGGTCTTCATGAGAAACAAGACAAGTCCACCTCTGCTGGGCCTGTACCCCCACCACCATCCCAAGTCATAGGGGAGGTGGGCCCCAGTGGGCAATTAGAGGGGGTCTGTCCCAGTAAACGCCAGTTCTCTTTCCTTCCAGAGCAGTTGACTGTCCCTTCTCGGTTCGTTTTCACCTCCCCAGTTGGTAAGGCCCTGGTGGCGGGGAGGGAAGACACCAGTCCATGCGCTTAAGTGACATGGGGTGCACAGGTCTGGCCGGGACATCAGCTTTGACTTAAACAAAAGGTCCTCCTCAGGTTCTGTCGTAAGGGGTTGAGGGGGCCCCTAGCTGATGACGCAGCGCTCCTTGTCCTTGGCCTGGCTGCCGCCGCTGGCCTTCTCACGGATGTACATGAGGTCGCTGTGCACGCTGGGCCTGCGCGCGAAGGGCGCCACGATGCCGAAGGCGTCTCCAGGGTCGCTGCCGCCACTGCCGGCTCGTAGCATCTTCTTGTTCCGCAGCATCTTCTTGTGCAGCACGTCGCAGTACTGCACCGACACCTTGCGGTGCAGGTCCGGGCTCATTTCGCTCGGCAGCTTGGCCATGGTGAAGAGCGCCTGGAACATCTGGTCCAGGCTGCTGTTCCTTTTGGCCGAGATCTCGAAGTAGGCGCAGCGCTGGGGGTCGTCGCCCACCAGCTGCTGGATCTCGCGATGCTCCACCTCGCGGTAGAAGTCCCGGTCACCCTTATTGCCGCAGATGACCAGGGGCACGTCCACGTTCTCCTTGGTTTTGTTCTTGAGGCAAGACTTGGTGTCGAGGATCTGTTGCTTAAGCCTCTGCACCTCCTCGAAAGAGTCGCGGTTGTCCAGGCTGAACACCAGGATGAAAACGTCTCCTAGGGTGACAGAGCAAACGAGGAAAAGGTGAAGGAGGCTGCCATGGGGAAAACTTAAGTTTGACTTTGGGGTCGCCTGGGCGCCAGTCGCCGCAGTACCAGCAGCGGTGCGCAGGGTGCACTGAGTTCACGCGCAAACTTGGCGTGCGCGGCGGCGGAACCCGCGGACCGCGCCTCCATGCCGCGCCCTCCCCCGCTCCCTGGACGAGGAGTCTCCAACCCTCCCGGTGGTGCAGTTCCTTCCCCCGCCTGCTGCCCGGCCCGGCCCAGCCCCCAGCTCACCAGTGAGGATGGAGAGGCGCCTCATGGCGGGGAATGGGTGGTTGCCGGACGTGTCGAGGATGTCGAGCTGGTAAACCTCGCCGCGGATAGAGTAGAACTTGCGGTGGAAGTCCTCGATAGTGGGCGTGTAGGCGTCCTCGAAGCGGCCCGTAAGGAATCGCGACACAATGGCCGATTTGCCCACCTTAGATGAGCCGAGGATGACCATGCGGTAGCAATTCTTGGCGGGTATACTCAGCTCCGAGTCGCTCGGGCACATCTTCTTGATCATCGCGGCTAGTTTCATTGGGCGAGGGGCCGCGGGGGCAGGCACAGGGCCGAGAGAAGCGCAGACGGTGGCCGGGAGACTCTGCTCGGGCTTCGGCTGGGTTCGGGCTTGGCTCTAGCTAGATCTCAGGCTCTAGTACAAAGTCGCTTGCTCTGACTCTCGGCGTCCAGTGGATGCCTTTATATACAGCCTGTGTGGCTGCCCCGCCCCACACCCTCCCAGCCTCGGTGCGTCACGCCCCGCGGGCCCCCGCCGCTCCCTCCCCCGGACCTCCACGAACCACTGCCCGCTGGGCGCCGTAAGGAAACTCTGTCTGGGGTGCGGCTGGGGCTAAGGGCGCGCGGACTCCGCGCTTTTCTACTGCAACGGGGTCAGCAAGGGCATTGGGGCTGTAGTCTGGGCTGTGCCTCTGACCCTCTGTGACTTTGGGCAAGGACCCCACCCGTAACACACAAGCACACGCACATACATATGCTCACTTTCTTTGGGCCTCAGTTTCCCCTGAGAATAACACCCGCGTAATAGCAGGTGCTTATAAGGTGCTAGGCACCGTGTGAGGGCTTTGGGTACCATATCTCTTTCAGTCCTGAAAACAACCCCCAGCGCCAGCCGCCTTCGCATTCCAGGTCGGTGCTTGTTTCTGACTGTTAGCACCAAGGTTGGCGGCGCACGCTCCGGCCGCCAGAGGGCGCCACTCTCAGGGCTGGAGTTGGGATGGAGCTGCAAGTTTGGGGTTTGGGGAGGTGCGGGTCGCACTCAGCAGGAGCCATCCCCCACCCGGCGCTCTACTGCAGACCTCAGCTTCTCCTTTCTTCCAACCAGAGATGCTCTGAGGCCTGGCAGGAGTTTTCAGCTAGGGGCTGACCCTATCCCTTTCCTGCTGAGACCCCAAGGACCAGAAACTTGCCGTTCTTGGTCAGGCTTAAGCCAATGTCCCCTCCTCCCTCCTTCATAGCATTTTGTGCCTTTAGAATCCCTTGTGCCAACATTCCCATTTTATACTTAGGGAGCTGGATCTCCAAACTACAGAGTGAGCCAGGGAAGGCCCTGGGCTCACAGCACAGTCTCTTGCCTTCTCTGGGCCTCAGGTTTCTGTTCTGGAAGATGGTGATTTCTGTTCAGGAAGATGGTGATTACGGTTCTGTAATTACGGATGAGGAAGTGCAAACAATTTAGAAGGCAGGACCTGGTAATAACAACTATAGTAAGTGACCCATGAGGCTGCAGGACTGGGCAGGTGGGGCAGAGGTGGGGGTGTAAGGAGCAAACGAGGGGAGCAGCAGGTTGATCAGTAACCAGGCATAGGCTGATGCTACTGAAAGGCCTATAAATAAACTGTCTGGAGCTAGTTTGCTCCAAACTGGAGCTCATGAAAAAGCCATTAACCCCGCGGTGACGGGTGAGGTTGCACTGTGTTTTGCTTTGACCCTGTCGGATTTGGGAGAAATCCAGGGAGGGAGCCACTAGCTGGTGCCACCCTCCCTCATCCACATGGGTTAGGGTGCCCTGGGCAGTGCTGGGGGGAGCCAGCTCGCATCCCTCAACTGTTTGCACAGGACCTGTGGAATCTCAGCTGCCTGGGCAGGTGCTCTCAAAGGTCATAGCATCCAGCCTTTCTATGACCAGGATTCCAGCAAAATCTCACCCCCTCTGCAGGGGGATGCCAGGAGAGGGTTTATTCAGTGTCAGGTGCTGTTCTAAGTCCTGCCTCGTGGCAACCTTCAGGGGTGGGGCTATTACTCTCGATTACAGATGGAGAAGCTGAGGCAGAAGGAAGAGACTTGCCCAGGGTCCACAGCTAGTAACTGCAGGCCTGGGGCTTGAACCCTGGGGCTCTCAACCAACTACTCCCCCCTCCTCTGCCCCCTGCTGTGGAGCATTGTGCCCCATTTCCAGGAGCACAGCTCCTCAGAGCTCCCTGCCCTCTCCACCTGTCCCCAGGCCTTGCCCTACTGTTGAGGAGGTATTTCAAAGGCATGCAGCACATGGTGAGTACCATGCGTATCTGAGAAATGTCAGTGGCTCCAGCCTGGCCCGGATTCTTGCCGTGATTTATGTAGGAGCTGTCCGAAAGGCCAGCTGGCCTGGGTGCCCCCACCCCCACTGCTCTTGCCCTCCTTGAAGCTATCCTCCTCTCCCTGTCCCATCTGAGGGGAGTTGCGCCCTCCCCAAACACACAGCTGCTGTGGATGGTGGAGGGCCTCCACTGCAGACAGGGGCCAGTTGAGGGTAAGTTGGGGCTGGTCACGGCACAGGCCTGCATCACCCCAGAGGAGAGGCCCTTGCTTTGCCTCACACACAGGCTGGGCAGCCGGGGTCAGAAACAAGGTTTCTTGTGGCTCCTTCCTGATGGTCTGTGCCAGGGGCCAGAGGAAAGGTGGCTCCCACACAGCCATTCCCTCCGTGGCCTCTAGTCCTAGGAGAGCCACTTTGAAAAGCAGAGGCCAGAGGGTGGCAGGGTCAAGGATTTGAACCCAGTTCTCCCTAGGGAGATTCAGTGATTCTCAAGGACGATTTCTGGTCCCACTGGGCATGTTACCCTGCCCCACCCCCCCCCACCCCCACATAGATGTTGGGCTATAAGACCTGATCTCACATCAGCCAGGTTCATTAAGCCCCGATGAATACCCCAATGCCTATGTGCCTGCCCACCTGCGTGTATGGCCGGGGGCCTCGCTCCCGCACGAAGCAGGCACTGGTGACACTTGTTAGCTTGGGCTGCCTCATTTCTACCTCCATTTTTTTTTAAAGGTGTCTGTCTTTATTACAAAAGTAATACATGTTCATGTTTTTAAAACATCCAAACTATTTCAGAAAGAAATGGAGTGAAAGGAACTGAAAGTAGAAAACCCGCCCCACCCCACGGGAGTAAGGCTAACTATGGGGAGGTACCCACACCTGCGCAGATGACCCCCTCACAGCCGCCCGCCACTCAGCTTTCTGGTAACTGAAGTACCCTTTCTGTTCTGGGGTGGCCTTCATGCCTACACCAGACCCTGCCCCCAGGCTGACTGAGTCCAAGTGTAAGTATTTTCAACAGGCGAGCCTCAGGGTCAGGCAAGCGGAGACAAGCTGCCATCCCACGTAACTGTCAGCCAGCCTGACCCTGGCCTGGACACTCCGGGTCCCACACTTGGTGGGGGGGACATGTGCACCCCTAGCTTCCCAATCTTCCCCTATGCCAGCCATCGCATTATTTTTATGTTGTCCAGGTTTATAATGGTTACAAATGATTTCGTTTTGTGTGTGTTTGGCAGCAAACAGCATCTATGAGGCTGGACCTGCCTGTAAATATTATTTACTTGTATTGCAGTCATTTTCCTGCTAAGAGGTGCTTGTGGAGGAGTGAGTTCCCCGTTCCCAGGGGTGTGCAGAGGCAGGATTGAAGCATTGGGTAATATCAGACTGGATACCTCTGTGGCCCCTCCAGTCCTGAGACAAAAACCAGAGTCGTCAGGAGTTTCCGGGGTGATAAGGGGGCCCAGCCAGCACTGCTTGAGCACCTTCTGTATACACAAGCAGGCATGACTATGGTGGCCATTTTACAGATGAGGAGACCGAGGCCCTGAGAGCTGTGTGCACAGGTGGAGCCTGGGTTCATCCAGTCTCCCAACTTGAATGGGGGAAAAGGCCGATCCTGTGTCCTTGGAGGGCCGGGGGCCTATGGCCAGGAGGGAGGCTGGCCTTGTCCACAGGGCTCTGTGGTCAGGCTCAACCAACAGGCCCCAAACGGTCACATGCCTGCTCGTTGTGGCGACACGAGGTCCACTAGGAGGGACTAGGAGAAATGTCGGCAGTAACTGGAAATGCCAAGTTTAGCCTGAGGAGTCGGGGAAGGACTTGGGTGCTGGGCCCAGATCCTGTGGTCCCATCTAGGAAGCCCTCCCTGATAACTGTGGGAGTCCCCATCTCTCTCCAGCTCCTCTCATCTGAGGGAGGAAGGCATAAGCTCGGGTGGGACAGACCTGGTTCTGGTTCACATGTCGTCACTCATGTGTCCCCTGGGATGAGTCACCCAGCCTCCCTGAACCCCACATCCTCTGCTACCAAACAGGAGTGACCCCAGCTTGTATGGTCCTCAAGAGACATAGCCAGTGCAGGGTGGGCCACAGAGTAGGTGCTCGCCAAGGGTCTGTGGTCCGGCCCCAGCCATCCCTTCCCCTCCCACCACAACCTCAAGCACTGCTAACAAATTTGGAGAAGTTAGCCCTTCACTCTCCCCAGTCCATGCCTCCCCTGGCCTGCCACAGGCAAGCACATTTCCATCCAGATACAGGTCCCGCAGAGGCCCAAGAGGGCTGCCACATCGTTGGGCAGAGTCAGGCAGTGGGGGGCACATTTGGACTTTCCTGATAACCCTCAGATCACCCCACAAAGGCAATCTGTCTCCAAGGCCAGCTCATCTAGGCTGGACCTGGTGGCCTGGGGTTCAGAGAACATTAGTGTCACAGTCCAGCTTTCTGTAACTGCATTAGTACCCCAGGGAAGCCCAAACCTGGCCCCCTTGGCCTGATCCATGAGGGGCCAGGTGCCTCATGGCTGACACCCCTCACCAGCTCAGCTCTTTAGAGCCTGATGCTTTGGGCACTCAAGCTTGTCCTCACCTCAGGGCCTTTGCACTTGTCATTCCCACTGCCTGGAGCACTCTTCCTCCAATTTGCTCCCTCTGGTCATTTGGGTCTCAGCTCAAATGTCACCTCCTCAGAAGGGCCTCCCCTGACCACAGCTAACATGGGCTCCCACCCCCATGAGGTACTTTCATGTCACTTTTTAAATTTTCTGCATAATATTTTTTACTCTCTGATTATTTTCCATGGATGGCAACACACAGGGGCTGGGAACCCCTTGGCATGTAGGGGTGTCAGGCTGCTGGGCAGCATGATGACCTCCACCCCAAGGCTGGACTGGATCCCCGAGGAAAGGAGCAATGATGGAGGTGCTGGGGCAGGGGGTCAGGAAGCCCCAGTGCCTGGGCAAGTCCATTCCCTGCCAAGCATGGACAGTGGTGCCACCTTGGGGCTGTGAGGCTTCACTGAGGTGGGGGTGCTGCACCGGCCGGGCCTGGAGCCCCTGAAGCAATGGCCCCACCGGGAAACTCCAGCGCACTCCTTCCCCACCTGCATGGACAGAGACCCGAAAGGGAAGCTGGAGTCAAGGGGCTTTTATTGGTGAGTCAGAGCTTGGTGGGGGCCACGTGGCAGCACGTCCGGGGCCCCCAAAGCAGCGGTTTCCAAGGCACTGGGGCGGCCTGCACTGGTTGGTGCCGAGCCACAGCCGAGCGCTGGCACCTCACAGGGCTTGGCACTCGGGCAGGCAGGCCAGGAGGCCCTCAGAGAAGCCCGGTCAGCTTCTCTTGTGGAACTGGGAGGATTTCTGTCGGTAGATTTCAGCGGTGAAGGGCCTGCAGGGGCAAGAGAAGAGACTGCAATCAACTGGTCTTGAGGGCGATGCTGCCACCCCAGGCTCTGCCTCCCCAGAGCATGGACAGAGGGACAGTGTCCAGGTGGGACCAAGAGGGCCCAGGACTTCCCTGTCACCACCTGTCGGGGCCCTCAGTCCCCACTGTACTATCCACTCTGAGCTTCCTGTCTGCTGCTCTGGCGGTGACCTAGCATGGCCTAGCTGACCCGGCCTGGCTCAAGCTGCCCTGGTCATGGGAGTGGCCCTGAAGGCAGAGGCAGGGCCAGCTCAGCAGTCACACTGGTGTCAGACAATGACCCTGTCCCCCTGAGGCCCACAACAGCGCCTACTCACTCCTCATACAGGATGGCAACCACGTAGATGAGGGCCACAACCGCAGTCAGCCCCAGGCCGGCAGGGCTAGCGTGCCTGCAGAGAAGACACACAGTGAGTCGGTTGGTGGGCAGTGCTGGCGCTGGGCTCCCTCCCTGCACGCTGGGTCCTGCGGCCAAATGAGCCGAGCCAGGGGATCCCCTTCCTGAGTCTGGCTTTCTGTCTCAGACCAGGGCTCCCAGTCAGGTCCTGACCCATGGTCCAGTATGCTGCCTGCCCAGGCCAGCTTAAATCCTGGGGCAGGGTTCACGCTCCCTTTTCTTGTGCCTCCAGCCTCCAGCTGGAAGCTTAGGACGTCACAGGAGTGAATCCGGGAAGGAAGGAATGTGTGGCATCTCAAAATCGCCCGAGGGGCCAAGTGTGTCTTTTCTGAATAGGAGGATGTTTCCCTGCCCACCAGTGACAATTCCTGTTTTTTTGAAATGGGTCCAGTGCCCAGAAAGCCAGGTGAAGTGTGCACTGGGCCCTTTCACAGGCTCTCTGCTAGTGACCGCCAGACTGAGGAGGAGCCTGGGCAGATCGTTTCTATAGTTACCTCAGACTCCAGGGACTCTGCAAGGGTTAGGCTTCTGTGTCCAGATGGCCAGGGAGGAGGAGCAGGGCAGCCGCTTTATGGGGTCACAACAGATCCCAGGAGCCAAGGGGCACATGGGCCCCAAGTGGGCTCTGCATCCCCCAATACTGCCTCCTTCACAGGAGCCCCAGACTGGGGACCCCAGGTGGAGGACATCCTACAGGGAACCCTGCCCTCCCCGCCAGGCCCTCACCTTGTCTGTCTTTCTGTCTGGGAGCTCCTAGAAGGCAGAGTGTGCTTGAGGATGCACTCCCCACTCCTGCTCTGTGGGCTCCAAGGCAAACAGCCTTCCGGGGCTGAAGTCTGCCCTCCCGGAGCTTTGCTCACTGGCCCTAGCGTGGTTTACTAGAGCAAGGAGAGCTTCCTGTCCTGCAAGCCATGCGACCCTGGAGCCGGGGAGGAAATAGGCAGCAGGCTAGACTCGCCTGGGTAAACTTGCTGCCAGTTGGCTCAGGTAGAGCCCAGGGGCCGGGCTTTGTGGCCGCAGTGTCTCTAAGACTGATGACACTCTGCCTGGGAACCAAGTTAACTAGGAACCATGGAGGCCAGGAATGGACATGGCCACTACAGCTGACCTCAGCCAGCCCCCTGGGTCAGGCCCTGATGCCGGGCCTCGAAAAGTGAACCAAACAAGCTCTCCTCTTCCATTACATCTGCATGAAACTTTCCCATTTCCAAAATGCTATCACACTCTTGATCTTGACATCCTACAACCCTGTGTGGAGAGGATTATCTGACTCTTCAGATGAAGAAACTGAGGTCCAGAATGACCCACATGCACGCACCTGGCCCTGACCCTGGGGTGGTGGCGGGTTGGCCCTGTGCACTAGGCCTGCGCTTGAGGGACAGCCTCACTTGGCTAGAGGCCTGGAGACTGCAGGAGACCTCGGTGCCTTCCCCCAGTCTAGTGCCCCCAGGAATCCCGGGCCCTGGGCCTCACGCATGGTTGCTCAGGCACCGGAAAGCCCCATCTATAGGGCCCGAGGAGGGAGACAGATGGGCTACGTAAGGCCTGGGAGTGGCTCTACTGAGTCAGCATCTCAAAACACCAAGTAATGGCTCATCTCTAACGAGCTCTCAGAGGATGGATGGAGGGCTCCACTTCCCAGCACAGCAGACGGAGGCCCTCTCATCACTGCGTGGCTGAGGTCCTCCTGCTGGGGCCTGCTGGGGCCCAGGCTTTCTTAGGGGTCCCTCACATGTTCTTTAGAGCCCTGGGGGTGGGGGTGGGAGGATGACTTTTCACTCCAGGAAACCAGGCACCGGCTGGGGCACAGAGGGGACCCACATGTGGGCTCTGCCACTGGAGGGCCCTGTCTGAGCACAGATGAGGCACCCATGGGGGAGCAGTCAGGGAGGGCTTCCTGGAGGAGCACACACCTCAAGATGAGTTTGGAAGGAAAGACTGGGGATAGAAGTGGGAGGGAATGGTGTGTGTGCTGGCAGGGGAAATGGAGGGGGCTCAGCATGGGGGTCCTGTTGGTCCCAGGTAGGAGATGCTCCGTGGGGTGAGTGATGGGTGAGTCTAGTAGTGCAGAGTCTGCCTCCCAGGAGTCCACTGCCTAAATCCAGGTGAGAGGGGCCAGGCTGGGAGGAGGTTTTATGGTCCAGGAGTGAGGCTGGAACATGGGAGGGAGTGTCCCAGCCAGACCCACAAGCTCCCCTCTAGCTACTCGCCACTCAAAGTCCACTGCTCTCGGATCCAAGGGTGGGGGTCCAAGGGAACATCTTGCTCCTGACATTCCACCATTTGAGATTCATTCTTTTGTGTCCTATAACCTTTCTGGTCTCCGGGAGCACCTGTAACATTCTAGGCAAGTGGTCTTCAAGTATTAAATAAAGGCAGAACACCTTCCATTAAAAAGCTCTCTGGGGGCCGGCCAAGTGGCTCAGTTGGTTAAGAGCTCGCTCAAGAGTTTGAGCTCTGAGCAACAGCGGTTCGAGTCCAGCCCGAGCTGAGCAGCCNAGTTGGTTAAGAGCTCGCTCAAGAGTTTGAGCTCTGAGCAACAGCGGTTCGAGTCCAGCCCGAGCTGAGCAGCCGCCAGGTAGCAGGATGGCTCATAAAAAAAAAAAAAAAAAAAAAAAGCTCTCTGGAAGGAGCCCTAAAACAGAAAATGGACAAACAGGAACTGCCCTGGAGGAGTGCATGGTTTGAAGCCCAGAGCCAGCAGCGCTCCCTATGCCAGCCTGGGGGAAGGCGGGAGCCCCAGGGTCACTCGTCAGTGCCCACAGCTGGATGAGACAGACAGCAGTCATCCTGGCCCACCTCCTGTGGGGCGAGGAGCTCTGCCACCCTGGCACATGCACAGACCAGCTCTCCTGACAGGGCCAGAGGCTGCTGATCTGGGCCCTGGGCAGCCCCTGTGCCCCTCCCAGGTCCCTTCCACGGGTCAGCAGCCTGTGGTCCACAGGCCAAGATCAGATTGGACATTTCTAAGTGGTTTAAAAAAAGGAGAATAAAAAGAAGAATATTTCGTGACACCTGAAAGTGATATGAAATTCAAATTTCAGTGTCCATAAGAACACCCAGCCACACCTGTTCAGTCTTATGATTGCTTTCTTGCTGCAGGGGCAGAGCCCTGCCTGTGGCCCTGGATCCTCGCTCTCTGACCCTTTGAGGAGAATTTTGCAAACCTCCGTTTTAGGTGTTGTTTGTGTCCATAGATCCTAAAGAACAAAACTTGGACTGATGCCCTTGGGCTCCATGAGTGACGCAAAGGCTGACGTGTTCCTGCTGGAAGCAGCCAGCAGGGAGGATGGGCGGGAAGGCCCTACTCACATGATGGCCCAGCCCAGGTAATTGGCCGTGCTGCCCCAGTACATGGGGTTGTCCAGGATGTTGAAGGGAAATGTGGTCACTCTTGCCTCTTTGAGGATCCCGAAGTAATCACCTATAGACAAAGTGGGGCAGGGGCCAGGGTCACATCCTGGCTACACCATTACTGAGAGGTCCCGGGGTCAGCACAGTGGGGCCTGCCCTCCAGGGGGCTGCAGGCTAGTGGGGAGCAGGTTTAACAGCACACCAAGTCAGGGGCACCCGGGGCAAGCCCGCTCAGGCCACAGGCATGCAGACATCTCAGAGAGCATCGGTCCCAGGGGCTGAGGGGCTGAGATGGCACAGTGTTGCCCAATAAAGGGCGCTGCCCTGGCATCCTGGGCCTCTTCCTCCCAGAAATCCCTTCGACCATCCAAGGCAGAAGTAGGGCAGCCACAGGCAGGAGGAGCCAGCGGGGCTGCGTCACCTGTTGTCTAGGGACAAAGGGTCTGAGGTGAGGGCACAGGGAGGCTGCGGGAGGCTTTCCTCCCAGGAGGCAGGAAGTGGGGCGGGGGCCGTGAGGCAGTGGCACAGAAACCCACTTTGGGGCTGACTCACAGCACAGAAGTGGTCACAGTGCCCTACATCCAGAGCCTGGCGGGCACTCAGCATTTCTAGGCCACTTCTTCTGGGGGGTGGCTGGCGCTCTCAGGGTCCTTCCCACTCCCCTCCTACCCTGACTCACCCCTCCAGGGGCATCTCCCCATGCAGCCCTGTCCACACGCTGCTCTCATGCTGCCCTGGGTGTGGGGGCTCCACCAGCCCTTTCCTGGCTCTGCGCCCACTGTGCTGCAGCATCTGCACACTGTAGGGCTATTCACACCTGGTCTCCAGAGGACTGAACTGGCCCTTGCCCCTGCCAGGCCCACACCATGATCCCCGCTCCTCCCTGACCCCCAGGGTCTCGGCCCCACTAATCCAGTGTCCTTATTGCTGGGAGAGGACCTTTCCAGCCCTTCCTATGCCCCCGCCTCCATGGGAGTGGAGTCCCCTGCATGGCCTTCGGGGACCCATGTGACATGGCCCCGCCCAACCTCCAGCCCTGGCCCCACTGGCCCCCTGCACACCAACCAACCTGCCTGCCTCCCTCCAGCATGCCACCCATCACTCTGCCCTGAGCTCGCTGTTTGCTCTCAGGCCTGTCCTCCTTCCCACCCGCCACACCTGCCAGACCCAGGTGTTCCTGACTTCCCCTTTCCCTAGGATCCCACCTGCACATGCCTCTTCTAGCCCAGGCTCCCTACAGCTCCTGCCTGAGTACGAGGTGCTGCATGGACACCATAGCCCCGGCCCAGGCCTCGCCACGGGCAGGCAGGTGTGCCAATTCTCAGAGGACGGCGACTCCTCCTCCGCCTGTGAACACAGACCCGAGAGCCGCGGGCCCCTGCTGCGGCCTGTAGTGCCCAGGCCCGAAGCACCACAGACAGCAACTGTGAGGGATATCCAGGCAACCCGGGGCGCTGGATGCCACCCAGGCACTGGAGGAAACTGAGGCCGAGTCCCTGAAGCTGGCCAGGGGCTGAGAAGGGAGAAGGACCCTAGAGCCCCTGACCCAGCCCACCAGAGAGCCAGGCACTACCACGTGCTGCCGGCTTATGGCCCAAACACAGCTGACTGATACCCTGCCTGGCCTGGCAGCCGAGCAGCTGGATGAGACATGAGAGCCCAGCTTTCTGAGCTAGCTGTGCATAAGCCGAGGCCTAGAGAAGGGAAGATGCCCCGAGACTCACGCAGACGTCAGACAGCAGGGCAGTCAGCAGCCCCTGCTTCTCCCCTGGACCTCAAGTGGGTTGTCTTAAGGCCCCCCAGCCCTCGAGGCTTACCTAGGAAGGTCCCAGTGAAGCCCAGAGCAAAGAAGCTGGAGAGCACCAACACACTGCCGACTGCCAGAAGCGCAAGGCCCACCTGGTAGGCCACGGGGTTATCCAGGCTGTCCATCCTGGGCTGGCTCAGCATGGCCTGTGTGAAGCTGCAGGCAGGGGTGTGGGAACAAGGTCACTGCTGTGCACAGGGGGTGCCCCCTTCCTGCCCCTGTCTCCCAAGTGGCCCCCAGAGTAACGAGTCCTGTTGGGGACAGGCAGATGATTAAGTGGCTGTAGGTGGGGTGCGGAGCACCTGGAGAGCACCGTCCTGCCTGAGGGGGGCTACCCTGAGGCACCAGCCCCCAACTGCCACAAGGAAAGTGACCAGAATGGGGGGACCTGGCCTGCCAGATTTTTTGGTTTTTCAAGAGAAGTCAGAAATCCTGACTTATATATGAAATATCCTAATTTTTTAAAACAGGCAATTAATGAAAACTATTTTGGACTCTGTGCATGTCAACAGGCCAGATTCAGTCCAAGGGCCACCAGTTTGCAAATTCCAAACCTGTCCCATTAGCAGCTGGTACTGTGGAGGAGAGTGAGGCTCAGAAAATGACAGATGCACGCCTCAGGCTGTGTGCTAGGGCCCCAGTGCCCGGAGGCCCCTCACCTGGCGTGTGCCACACGTGGCCATGGCACCCCACTCCCCGAGTGGATGCAGTACCCTGAAGCCTGGGGCGTGCTCTGCCCCTTCGCCGGCCTCCTTGGTCCCTGCACAGAACTGGCTGCATCCTGGGCGGTACCTCAGAGATCCCATATGTCTTCCTTCCATGCCTGGAAAGCCCCCACTGGCTCCCTTTGGGGCCATGCCATGGAAGACCTTGTTAAAAGGCAAGTGGATGGACCAAAACGGGGGCTGTGCTGGTGCACTAGCACTTCAGGTTCTTCACCTGACTCCTATGGACTGGAAGGCCTGTCGCAGCTCGGCCACAGTGACTGGGCTCCCGGTAACGCCAGGAGCAAGCTCAGGGGCTGTCTCCTCAGGAGGAGCAGGCACTGATGGGAGGGACTCCGAGGAAAGGATGTGTGTGGGAGCAAGTGCGTGCAAGCACCACAGGCGTGCATCTCACATTTCCCCACGATCTCACACTCAAATGAGACAAGATCTTCTGCCTCACGCGGGGCAACAACTCACTCACTCTGTATCACATACCCCCTAGCAGGGCAACTCACTGTCCACACACCCATCCATCCATTCCTTTACCCTCTATCCACCCATCCACATATCCATCTACCCACTCATCTGTCCATCTATCTATCCATCCATCCATCCATCCATCCATCCATCCATCCATCTATCCATCATAAAGTACCTCTGTTTACCAGGTTCTTTCAGCAGAACAAACTAACCATCTTCATTCATTCATTCCACTGGTAAATTCACATTGTTGTAAAACTATCCTTATGTTAAGCTAAAACCACCTCCCCGGAACGCTTTCCTCCAACTATTTTCGGCTCTTAGAAGACAGAGGCTGCTTCTGCCTGGCACCCAGCGATCCAGGCAGAGTGGGTTACACATTCATCCACTGGAGGGAAGCAGCCCCCTGCCCTTCCCCTTCCCCCCATGGCAGAAAAAGGTCTGTGAACAAACGGCAAACAGGACACTGGCCACAGAAGCCTGCATGGTGACCTGTCAAACAGGCACACGCGTGTCAGGGCACACCTGCCACTGGTCATGCTGCCCACACCCCAGCTGTCCACCCACCACTGCCCTCACTCAGCCCTCCTGCTGCCGGGGCTCAGGGTCACCCTGTATCTCCAAGTTGAGCTGCTAGGATTGGCTCAGGGTCATGCACACCCAGTGTTATGCCAGGCTGCCATGCCCATGCCCTGCCTGCCCATGCCATGATCCTCTGCATTCACCAGCAGCCCTCACCCCCGAGGCAGCCCTGTGACTTAGGCAAGTCTCCTACCCTGCAGACGCAGCAGATAAAGCCATGGACCAGGCAGTTTGGCATCTTGCCTCAACCCCCTCCCCGCCTCTCCTGTCTGCACACAGTAGATAGGGAGGCATGTAGAGGGTGTGGGCCCAGCGAGGCTGACTTCCCTGCTCAGGGCTGGCTCACCTGCAGGCCCGGATCCTTGGCTACCACTGCAGTGAGGACCATACCACAGAGAAAGAGAAAGGGGGGTGGTGACACTCAGGCCTCCATTCTCTCAAGGGCTGGGGTGATGCCCACTGCTCTGCCCAGGGCTCTGCCTGCCTGTTTAGCTTTGGCACTGGCTCCTCCCTGCCTGGGCTGACTCCTGGCCCTGAAACAGGGCAATCAGGCCAGCTGGATCCACGGTCCAGCACATCCATCTGCCTCAAGTTCTCTGGGGCACCCATGGCCATCCGATAAAAGAGCTGAGGGCTCCTCGCAGAAGAGCAGCAGGGTTGGGTTTCAGACAGGCTGGCACCCTGGGCCTCAGTTTTTGCCTCTGTATGACGGTGACAGTATTCCTTCCATGTCCCTGTGCAGAGCTGCTGCCAGGTGGCTGTACACACGCTGATGAGCATGGGACATGCCGGGCTTTACCACAGGGCTGTGAACAGTGAAAAGGACAGAGGAGTGAGCTGAGGGTGTCACCGTGGGAGTGATGAAGTGCCGGGTGCCACAGGACAGGCATACCAGACAGGGGTCCAGGCGGCCACAGCGAGGCTTAAGCTGACATGCGATGGAAGAAATTCACCATGAGAAGGGGGTGGGCAGGGTGAGCAATCCTGAAACAGAACAGCCAGGCCCAGTGGGGAAGCCTGCAGAGGAGACCTCTGGGCCTGTGGCAGAGTTTGGAATGCATTCCACGTGGGTGGGAGGAGCAGAGTGGGCAGACCCGTCAGGCTGTTGCAATAGTGAGGGTAACGCTGGGGGCCGGAGAGAGCCCAGCCAGAGCCGATTGGACTAGATCTGGGGGCCATGTGGGGCCTCGGTTTCCCGCTCATGATGGGCAGGCTCCAACTCCTCTGCCAGAGTTCATTTGCACCATCCAGGCAGCAGGCATTCTGTCTGGCTGAGTGCACACGGCAGGGCCAGATGAAAGCATCTCATTTTGATGAGCTGTGCCTAGGGGCTGGATCCACAGGAAACGCCATCTGGCTGGAAGTAGATGGAGATTCTTGACAAAGGGCAGATCTAGGGTCAGTGGTGGGGGAGCGGAAGGCCCTGAAGCGGCCAAGTGGCTGCCCCAGACTTGGCCCCAGGCTTCGGTCCACCTGCTCTTTTTCCATCCTTCACCAGGAGGAGGAGAGGGTCCCAGGGGAGCTGCCCATATAGGCTCCAGGCGTGCTCCCTCGGGGTTTGTCAACAGAGGAGTCAGCCAGGCCCTCCAGAGCTCTGTTTAGGCTCCCTTTGGGCATGCAGGCTGCATACTTTGGGACCATGATGAGTGGCAGGTGTGCAGGAATGGCGTGGCCGGCTCTATTCAGGTGACCTGCGGAGTTCTACCTCCTCCATTAAGTCAGGAAAGCACAGTCCATTCCACACGGAAAATTAATGGAGGGACGAGTGACTCAGAGAGCCACACACTCCGTAACAGAATGAAGTAATAAATAGAAGGCAATTTCCTTTGGAAATATTCTGCACTGGGGGTGGGAGTGAGAGACTCATTCGTCTCCAGTTCTATTTTTAAAAACTTGGATTGAGCTTTCAGTCAGTCAGGCTGTTTGTACTTTGCTCCCCTGAAATCCTGGAACTTAGGTGGAGGCGGAGGGGGGGGGTCACTGCCCATGGTGTGCCGGCGACACACCAGGCACCGGCTCAGCCTCCTCCTGCAGTACGTCCACTCTGTCTGCCGATGCGTCCTTCCCAAGCCCGCCTCTCAACCAAGGCCCTTTCTGCAAGGCAAACCCCCAATGGCCCGCACAGCCTGCAGAGTTAAAGCTGAGACCACCCATGCCTCCCATTCCCTCAGTGTAGAAATCCTTTCCACCATAGGGCCAGCAGACCTGCTGAGCTTCCCTGGCCCCCAGCACACGCCCTACGGAATGCTTCCCTTGAGTATGGGCTGACCTGCGAACACTAGGCATATCACAGCACTATGGGGCAAGGGCAAGGTCAGGGCATTTCACAGGTGTCATTAAGGTCCCCAGTCAGTTGACCCACATTAATTGAAAAGGAGATTACCCTACAGAGGGTGGCTTTCAAAAAGGGTCTGGAGTTCAGAGAGAAGTCAGAGACACCCCCCCCCCCGCTGCCAGGGGGTTTGGGAGAAGCCTACCGCCATGCTGGGGCAGGGGGCATATGTCAGGGATTGGCAGGCAGACTAGGAGCTGAGGGCCTCAGTCCTACAGCCACAAAGAATTGAGTCCTGCCCACACCCAGTGAGCCCATGGGAGACCCCAACTCGTTTTTTGGCCATGCTCTCACTGTGCCGTCTGACTGCCCCCTCCCCCCACCTGCAGTAAACTGTTTCCAGTCTGCCCCATTCGCTGGCTCCTTCATGACAGCATCCTGTGAGCAGTTCCAGCCGGGCACTGGATGAAGCAATGACTGGCACACAGACAGCCACAGGAAAGACAGCCACATGCATGCTGACATTCCACCGATCCGGCCAGTCCATGTGCAGGATGCACCTGCTCCCGAGCAACTGGTACACAGAGGGGTGAAGTAGGTCTGCTCTCCTGGCCCAGGCCACAGCCCCATTCCCGCTGAACGGTACACCAGCCCGAGAGTGGGAGCTGCCACCCCTGGTCTCCCTCCCCGATACTTGCAGGCCCGTTTCCACAAGACCCTGGGCTATTCTGCAGTGTACTGGTATACAGCTCCACCAAGTGACCGACGAAGGACACAGAGGCTCCCTGATGCTCCTAGCATCTTGTGTACTTGCCCTGAGGCCACTGGCTGGGCAGAAGGAGGCACAGTGAGGAAAGTAGTGCCAGTCCTGTGAAGCCTGGGCCCTGCGTGGCTGCTCACTCTGTGCCATCCCGGCAGACTTATTCTTGGGCAGTGGCTCCAGGCCACCCAGTTCTGGCTAAGGCTAGCTGTGCATAGGGTGCAGCCGACAGGGAGTGGGTTTCAACAGATGACCCCAGCCCATCTACGCTCCTCCCCACCTCACCTCCCCGTTCATGCTTCAAAGCCAGAACACACAGGTCTGCAATAATCGCCTCCAGATAACGAGCCGACTC